GGGGGAATGTAGATACTAGAACAAAGAAGTCAATTCAATTGGCCTTGTTCGTGTGGGTTATCTAATGGCGGTGTAGAACCTCGCTATTTTATTGCCAGAGACTTGAGAAACAGTTTCTATCTCCCTTGGATGAACTTTATATTTTGAATCCTGTCTGCAGGAAAGAGGAACAACCAGTTCAAATTAAAATAGCATAGTGGTCTCTAGGTTCCGCTGCAGCGGTCACTGAGCGCACGCAAAGGCCAGGGGTCACGATTAATGTATCACGGGGCATTTGCATCTCCCCATACACAGCACTGTTGCAGGTATTCTCCGTGATTTTAGTAATCTGATCCTCATGAAACACGTTTTGAAGCGTGTCTGTATATTATCTTCCTATATTTCTTATACCTGTAAATAAAATTGAAATTTTGGATGTGTACATTCGCTTGTAGCTCGATAACTGATAAATCGATTTGTAACAAACGTGGCATGTTCATTCATTGAGACCAGGAAGATACTTTAGAAAGGTCGAAACTCCGATAAAGTGTACTGCATTCTAATCCCGGTAAGGGCGGTTTCTATAGCACGGAAACTGAGCACGACAGAAAAACATCGCCAACGCCAAAGTTGTTTATTTTCAAGAGGAAATTACAAAAACGTAAACCACTGTTCCGAAAACTATTCGAGTCTCGACTACGTGTTTCGTACTCTTAACCACCAGGGTACCTAAGAGTGTGGATTTTACTACTTCCACTAACAATGTTTATTTTACTTTTCATGTGAATTTAACTTACATTGCAGAATTTGGGGTTTTTACGGCGGTGAATCTGAAGATTTCTGTGAATTGTGTTGTTGCGCCGTGTAGTCTGGTAGTAGTTTACCGACGTTTCAGAGTTATTTGCTGCCGGCAGCAAAGACCTCTGAAACGTCGGTAAACTTCTACCAGATTACACGGCGCAACAACACAATTGACAGCCACATTCTTAACTTACATTTTCATGCAGTATCATTAGCCTGCAGAATGTAAAATTGTACCTAATTTAAATGGCATCCATTTATTAATTAAGATGTATTGTTTACAGCCAGAAAGAATTATGTGTGTACTCTCAGCCACCTGTAACAAGATACTTTCAGAATTCAACAACATTATGTGCATCTAACCTAAGGAAGAATGGGTCCGACTGCTACTGCTCGTAATTATATTCACAGCGACGTAATGGGCGAAGTCCTCGCGAATGTCTTTTAAACTAATTACTGTAGATGATAACTGCAGACAATTTTTTTTTTTTGGAATAACTTTTCTTAAGGTATTCAATGATACCCTTCGGATTATTATGCCTACTGTAAGACTATTTTGATTAATATGTATTAATACGTACAATGTAGGGTTTACGTACATATAACCGCTGAATAAAACTTAATAATGAGCTATATGTTTTTCATGCATCCTGATATCTAACTTTTTTTCTTTTTTGTTTATTTTTCTTGTTTAAAATAAACAAGGTGTTGATAGAAATATTTGGACCTGTAAATGATGAACTGTTTGAGAATTTTATGACACTACACAACTGTACCGCCACGGTGGTCTAGCGGTCAGAACGCTAGCCTTGTAATCCTGGGGTCCCCGAATTTATGACTTGTGTTGGGCAAGGGCGTGGTCTAGGCAACACGGAGTTTTCCTCCGTGGCATCCCAACAATTACTCCATTCACACCCAGAAGAAGGCAATGGCAAACCACTTCTGGATCATCTGCCAAGAACGTATATGAACAGGTCCCAGTCCGAGAAAAGGATGGAAGGATCCTGTTCATAATGTCACTAGGGGTACAAAAAAAACACAAACTGACAACAGGAACTTTGTGATTTGCATTAATCTATTCTTGATCACACTCCTGGCGGACATCACGTCACGCTAACAAGGAATAACCTGTAAAATATTTACACATAACCATATTCATAATTAGTCGAGCGATTTTAATACGGTATGCGTTAATAATGACAATGCTGCTTAAAGTTTTCGAAATTAAAGAAGGGGAACAGGATATATAGAGCATTAAAGCACGCTGTCAGTTTGCGTCAGCAAAATTCTTTATTACGTTGAGTCTGTTCTGAGTGATCTTAGATATTCTAATTTCGCATGTAAAAAAGAACTGACTCATACAGTCTAAAGCTAGGCCTATAAATGGATCGTTACACGGGTCATGAACCTATCTGTTCATGCGCCATGCATTATTCATTACATTTGCATAGGTCTATGCGGTGAACTAAATTTGTATACTTTGTGGCCAGGCATAGTCAAACCACGGTCTACTGTGCTTTTAGATTCTACGTTCTGTCATAATTTCTCACACACACATTATTTCCAAACTAGATTTTAACCCGATACTGTTCTTTAATTTCCACATCACATTGTATGTTAGCGTGCGTGTGTCTTTGCGTGTGTATGCGTTTTATTTTTCAGAAAAATCCTCACAGTCCCATATCCATAGAATAAACTAAACAGGTAGACCCACTGAAACAAAAAATAAAGATAAAACATAACCTCAAAACACGTTAAGAGGATAATATTAAACGGTATCTTAAAAATATGAGAGGATGGTGTGAACTGTCTTCGGCTGGCTCAAGACATCGTTTACTGGCGGACTCTGGCCAAGACGGTAATGAGCCTTTACGTTCTGTAAAAATGTCGGAAATTTCTTGAGTAGTTATTTTCTGAATGTATCTGGACATTGCCTTATGTTACGCCTCTCTTTATTTCGGGCTTTATCCATCGCATTTTCTTACAAAAGTACCGAAAGTGTTCAAACATTAAAAATCACTACTTGTCGAATGCTGGACTTTCCTTCGTTTTCAGGTTAAAGGGGTGGGGGTGGGAAGAGAGGCACCGATAAACTAAACCAGTGGTATTCAACCTTTTTTGTTCGCGTACCCCCAGATATAATTTATCTTCAACTTTGTACCCCCAAAGTTGTTGGTGTATAATTCAAGTTATACATAGTATATAATCTACATCTAAAATAAATTAAATAAATTACATTACTGATTACTCAGTGTTTATTATAAAAAAAAAAAATTAAAATTTCACGTACCCCCTAAGATGTCTTCGCGTACCCCCGGGGGTACGCGTACCCCAGTTGAATAGCACTGGACTAAACTATCCCCGGTCGTGAAAGTCGATCGTTTACAGGTCGAGAATAGTACAGACTGCCATACAGGTGCAGCCCCGCCTTTTCCCTGAATGCGAAGAAAGACCCATAGTGATTTTAAAGTTTTTAAGATTTTTAAGGCATTTTTAAAAACAACTTTGACGAAGTCCAAAACACAGAGAGCAGCACTTTTCTGGTCTCGAAAAACTCTTCGTCTCTCTAGACGGACTCTGCTACAAGAGGTTACCTCAGCACAATCAATAATTTACCTACAATCTCTACCAACAGAAAAGCGATTTCAAATACCCTAAAACTTGATTATTCAAATTTTATTTTCGTTAACCTGCACACTCTTCGCTTCCGGCACTATGCCGTTTGTTATTTCACTGCTTCCTGGTTCCGGGCTGTGTCACGAACTTCTCGCCCCAGGTTACTGTTATGCTCCGACATAACGCGTACAATACACCCAGTCTTTACAATGGGCATCTGACACACCAAATAACTAGCTGTTGTAAAAACACACACATTCAAATTCTATCCACTGAGCTTGCTGGTTTATCGGTAATGATTGCACTGAATTGGGGAGGTACCCGGTTCGAACCTCAGCCAAATTATCCGCTCTTCTGATTTAGGGTTTTGGCGGATTTTCTCAGTCTTCCACGTAAGCAGTGGGATTGTACCATGAAATAAATTACACCCATGACCGGCTCCTTCTAAGACATTATCTAATTACCATTCATAATCTCCCCATCATTGCTACATAATCAATGAAAAAGCCGTCAATTTATATCCCCGAGCCTAGATTTTTCTGATTTACGTACAGGGATCCTTTGCAGTGCCTTCCTAAGATAAGATTTATTAAAATTCTGTTTCCAACATAATTTGTGAGTCTATTTGTCTGGTAAGAAGTTTAACAACACAATAACTTTTAAACAGCAAAATGTACTTTTACTGGTGATAACTGTCATTTAATCTAATATTAATCATTTGGAAATGGCTTAAATCAGACCAATGACATTCAATTACATAAAATCGTCTTTTGATTATGTGTGCACCGGCAAAGTTTCGTGTAATTATTAAAACTGACGTAGTTATAATCTGCAGTTTGAACTTTCTTTAAAAACAACAGAGCAGCGGGATGAGATGAGCGAAACTTGTACATATGCTATTTTGAATTAAAATGTAAAAACAAATCATTCGAAGGAACGATATGCAGACGGGAGAATATTAAAATCCTTGCAGTTTGCGGTGGTGACGGCCTTGAGAATCCCGCCCAACGGCAAAACCGCATGCAAAAGTGAAGTCCTTATAAGAAAATGGGGTTAGAGGAACTAAAAACACACGAAACACGCATCTTAATATGTATAATTAATGATTAATAAATATGAACATAACCGTGTTGGTGTTTAGTGGCATGACCTCGGCGTTCCTAGCTGAAAGTTGTCACGGTTATAGAACAAAAGGGTCTCAAATCATTTCTATAAATTGCGAAAAGTACAGTCAAAGACCACTCGGTGTGGCACACCTAATCTACGTAGCTTCTCAAACAGGCAGGTAGGTGCGTGCTGTTGTATATTATTAACCGCGCCTGCGCAAGAGAGACCGCGAAAGAGCGAGAGGCCTATGCCGTGAAGCGCAGATATTATCACAGTAATTTTCCTGCGAATAAGCAAAATAGCGATGCACAAACCCACAAACAGGAAGCGTCTGCTGTTATACTACAGCTGCACTGTTGTGCGAATAATTTTAGCGGCTGTTACTGTTAGCGCTGGGCGGTAACTGGTGCAGTTCCTGCCGGGAGCCGATAAGGAACAGTTGCGTGTAAATATGCCAGCAAACGCACTGTATGACTAAATCGCTAGAATCTTGTTTATGTAAACAGGACGGCATTAAAACAAGCTAGGTCTTATGTTGCTAGCCCTATGCCTTACACTTTTCCAGATTTGTGTAACTCTGGTGATTTCAAAAGTCAAATTGCTTTGCCTGCAGGTCTCGGGCCCCTTCTCGGCTCATGGAGCGCTACGAAAAGTTGGGTAAGCTAGGCGAGGGGAGTTACGGCATGGTGTTCAAATGCAGAAACAGGGACACCGGTCAGATCGTCGCCATCAAGAAGTTCGTCGAGTCCGAGGACGATCCACTCATACGCAAGATTGCCCTCAGAGAGATTCGTCTTCTCAAGGTGACTTAGTTTATTGCCGATTTATTGAACTTAATTAGTTACGTGATAACGAATGCCACAACTAATACGAATTGTAAATTTAAAAAGGACGTGTGAAGAAGTGAATATGCCCTATTTTAAGATACTCTTCCAGTAATTTTCAGCAGAGAATGAGAATTACTAAAAGACGAGAAAAGATATTACATCAGAGGAAATCATACAGCAATAGTCTTTAGGAATAAATGGACAGTAGGTCTACAAGTGTTCAGAATTAACTTAACAATAATGCCTCAAAGATTTGCGTGGTAATCGACGCCCCCGCTAAGCCAGAGGTAGTAAATATCAACGGTAGATGGCAACAAAAATCAGTGCCTAATGCATGAAGGAATACATGTTAGAATTTATAAATGAGATTTTGAGTTAGTAATAGCTTTCTCTTTATAAATACGACAAACTTCAAACTGATAAAATTAAGGAACCTAATTTGTGTGTAATTTACACTTGTACCAACAGAAAAGTTGCTTCTTTCGGTTAAAGATGGCCGTTAAACTATCGCCTGAGGCAGTCGTAACATTAAACAATAAGTCAAAGTAGATCAGTCAGTAAAGTGACTACTTACAATTCGATTGCGGGCAGTGGCAGATATTTTTTTCCCTCGTTAGATACAGTAACCCGCAGCGGCTCTGAGAACCACCCAGTCTTCTGTCTAGTACGTACCAAGACCTTCCTTTCTCAAGGTAAAGGTACCGTCGTGTGAAGCCTGTCACTCACCGACTAGTGTCGAAGTCTTTTCCTTCACGCTCCTTAGAGTGCAGTGTTCGCAATATTATTTTCACCCGCGGCACACTCAGATTTGTAAATGGTTCAGAGCCGTCCATGCGAACATAAAAATATTTTGAGATACAGCCATAAAAGCAGAGGACTTAAACGCAATATTTACCATAATTGTGACCGAGTCCTTTTGAAAATAATATAAATCGGTCACTAGAAACACAGCCTATTTTTCCGGTTTGCTGTACTTTTATTTGCTTTCACTCACGTATATAGACCCGTGATATTGAAAATGGAATAAAGTAGGTCAGTAATGCCAACATACAATTATTGATTAGTTCATTTTCAGGCCTTTGTAAGAATTTTTTTATTGTGTTGTTCACATTTGTTACCAGCGTTCCTGAGCCCATCTAGAAATAACCCTCTGAAAGGAGATGTTATGCAACGCAAAGTGAATAAGAAAAGAAAAGAAAGAAAGAAACTAAAGGTCAGGCGATGTTCAGTCTGTTTCGAGTCTGAGACACCATGCTTGCCAAGATTATTACACATATATGAGCAGTGTATTTGTGATTGAAGACGGATTTGTATTTCTCAGTTGAAAGTCTGTTTAGAGGAAGCAGTTTTATCGACTTTTGTCGAAACTACATACAAGGTGAACAACAGTTTCGTATTGCACTGTGGAAGTAGGTCGGAAATCGAAGGCTGCAGTTCGGAGTCAAGGAAGCCTAAATGAATATTTGAAGATGTTTTTGTACGACGAAGGCCAGCGTGCTGTACTCTTCTACCACACGCGCTATCACGCGGCCAGTAAGGCTGACTATGCAGCGACCGTTTTTTTTATACTGCCGCGTTGCTTGCAGCCAGCACTTCGATACGATTCACCTCGTTAAATGATCGTGAACCCCCGACTGCAATTTCTGAGACTATCGCCTATCGTACAGTTACAACAGTCGATATCAGCGGTTGCTCCTGAACTCATTTAATGACTATTGATTGCTTACAGAGGAATGTATGTTACAATTATAAATTATTATTTTGGAAGAATGTAAAACACGTGGTCTGTTTAAAGTAATATCCTGGCAATTAACTAATTCTATACAGCAGAGCCCTTCTTAAGAAGGTAATAGTTGCTCAGATGATCAAATTCTCTGATTTTTTTATGAAACTATCAAGCCCATTTCCATATTCACAAGAACTATCACTTAAAACTATCCTGTCAGGTAATAAATTAAAAACCCTATTTATTTAACATACTATCTGTGCGTAAGTCTTCTAAGTTGTCTCACCCTTTTAAGCTTTGATTTTGTACTAATTTTTCATCTCTCTGCGCATACTACATGCCCAGCCAATCTCATGCTCCTTGATTTTATTATTGTAATGCAATCTGGTGAAAAGCGCAGGCTAAATTGTGGAGCTCCTCATAAAAATTCTCTCCAGCCTCCTGTTACTTCCTCTCTTTTATGTTCAAATCCTGTCCTCAAACACACTCAAGGGTTCTTCCTGTAAAGTGGAAGACCAATTTTCACTCTCATACAAAACCATTTGAAATCTTATAATTTTGTATACAGCCATTTCATGGTTGTACGTAGGAGACAGACAGAGTGGATGGTAGCAAACATTCCCCACATCTTCCTGAGTGATAAACATTTGTCATCTTTGCAAAGGCTTGAAAGTTTGTATCCCCCATGTCTTCATGCAAGGATGCCTCCCGCTGCCACTGCAATCTCTTCATTTTGTCACACGGACAAGATGGTAGACAAACGTCGCTAACATTACAAATGGCAAGAGCTAATAAATTTGTAATGTGAAAGTTCCTTTCAATGGACGACTTATTACTGAGAAAGAGCTATGAATAAATATGATTCTCCCACCACCAGTAACTGTATTGTCCTAAAAATTAAGCACTAAGTAGCTGAAAATGTTTATTTTAATTTTGTAGTTTATTTCCTGCATTACTGTCTGAAATGAAAACACAAGTTTTCTAGGAAGGGTGAAACTTTGATATTGATTTAATGTGATTTTGTAAAGTCACTTCATCATCAAACAAAAAGAACAAAAAAGAGGATCAAATAGTTCGACCAGTTACAACCTCATTCATTAACCACATCTGTTGGATGGGCAAATTCATTATCCTATTATCTTCAAATCTGTAAATTAACGTTGCAACAAACATTTCTTTGTGCAGTTTCAAAATTATACATTACACACACACAAACAAATGTCTGAAACATTTATTAGTATATTCATATAAAAAAATTAATCAGAAACACAAACAATTAAATAGTGTTGTCTTTTCACTTGGTCTGTTACTGTACTTAGTTGTTAAAGGTCAGTATTTCATTGCTATACCCGTGAACTCTTTTACCTTTCAGAACCTGAAGCATCCCAACTTAGTAAATCTTCTGGAGGTGTTTCGACGGAAGCGGAAGCTGCACCTGGTGTTCGAATTCTGTGATCATACAGTGTTAGCAGAATTGGAGAAGTTCCCACAAGGCTGCCCAGAGTTGCTAACTCGGCAAATCACATGGCAGACATTGCAAGGTGTCGCATATTGCCACCAGCACAATTGCATCCATCGAGACGTAAAGCCAGAGAACATTCTGCTAACTGCACAGGGTGTCGTTAAGCTCTGTGACTTTGGTTTTGCACGAATGTTGAGTGAGTAGAGTCCCTCGTCTCTGAAATATTAGTGTTGAACAATATTAACATTGCTTCTTAGAAAAAGAAGAGTTCTTTCTAACAAAATTAAAATAATTAACCATTTAGAGAAACCCACAATTAGATTTGAAAATATTTATCTGTTTTGCTTATGGTCCTTGTTCTGTCTACTAGGTCCCGGAGAGAATTACACAGATTATGTGGCAACGCGGTGGTATCGGGCTCCAGAACTCCTTGTGGGTGATACCCAGTATGGCCCCCCTGTTGATGTGTGGGCCATTGGTGAGTAGATAGATTCTAGCAGACAGTTTCTTGGCAGAATATCAAATATTGTAACCAATACAAATAAGGTGACTTCTCTCTTTTTTGTTCAAGGATATCTCTGGAATAAGAGTCAAGTACAAGAGCATGTTTCAGTGCAATTTGCATTCTATATGATATAAAGTACCACAGTTAATACATAATGTTGTGGAGACCATGAATACAAGATCTGAAGAATTATATAAAGTTACATATGACTGTATATTCTAAATTAAAATATGTAGAGAGGTTGTAGAACAAATCATGTATTGGCATGCTGATTGAAACAAAATTAAATTTTTTTTTGCATAGTACAGTATCTGTCACAATCCTTCTTTCAAATGCAGTACATCACAGTAAGTGGTTGAGTTCAAAGGTATATCTGCCCAAACTACTTAAATTCTATAATTATTGCACTTTTGTTGCATATGCACCAAAAATGTCTGAGAACTTTGTCTCCAAGCATTTCCATCCTAACTAAATTCATTCAGAATTAAATTCTCATCACACCAGTTTAGATATTTTTGAGGGGATGTTAAATAAAAAATCTGCTTTGTAAACATGACATCAAAACTTCAGGTGCTACAGAATCAGACTCAATAATTTTCAGACTATTTTCATCTGTTGCCAATTTACATCTTATTAATCACAGCACGTCTGCTTTGTACCAGGCTGTGTGTTTGCTGAGTTGATTCAAGGACAAGCACTGTGGCCAGGGAAATCTGATGTGGATCAGTTGTACCTCATCAGGAAAAGTCTCGGTGAGCGATTAACACAACATGCATTATTAATAAATTAATAATTTATTACACTGTACTTATATTCAGTGCTGTCTTATAATGTTAATATTTAATGAACATACACTATACAGACAATAACTTTCAATAGAATCACTTGATTGCATTCAGTCTCAATGGTTCTATTTTAATTAAATTCTCATATATTTTACAATATATCATCATTAGCATCAACATGATCATCAGAAATTGCTATAACTGCATACTAGTTTCTTTATGGTTTTATTTCATTGTTTTCTGAAGATAAAATTTTTATTTTAAAATAATACTTCTAACTTCCCTTCATTATTTAATATGCAAAAAAGGCTTTTACCATCATAATTACTGGATGTTTCTGCCCTACAAATAATCATCAGTATATACTAGAAACTGAAATGTTCCATTCATTTCCAGCCACATCAGACTTCGATGAATTTTCCTAAAGCAAAGTTTGAAAGCAGTGGTGACAAATGATCGTCTTGTTTCAGACCATTCCAAATACAAAATACATCAGATAATATTTACCTACACAGACTATACTAATTCAAAAAAATTTCAGTGAATTCATACATAAGTTATTTACATTTCCTATTTCTGAATATTTTATTTCATAAAGTTACTGATTCAATAATTGCCACATTCCAATTCTTTCCACATTCTGGTAAATTCCACTTGTAGGCACATCACTTTATTTAGAATACAGTAAATTAAGAAGTTTAAATAATTATTACAGCTTGATAAACTACGTGAAACAAATTGTTGTTCTAATATTCATCCAAATGCCTTGTATGAGTTATGAAAGAATAAAGATTATTAAATTAATTTAACTTGACCTTAGCAAATGAGAGGCAAGTGTGTTATTTATTAATTTCAATGTTCACTGCTACAGAGAGCATGTAATTAAAATGTAGAGAGCTGTTCTTTTAAGTACTTGTTTAATGTAAAATTAATAGAAACTTTTGTCACATTTCTTTTGTCTCAGTGCATATGATTACATTAAGTTTCTTTTCCCGCAACAGGAGATCTCATCCCACGACACATGAATATATTCAAATCCAATGAGTTTTTCTATGGTGTGTCACTGCCCCAACCTGATGTCCAGGAACCTCTGGAGAGCAAACTACCCAGACAGTGTAACCCCCATGTCATGGATTTCCTCAAGGTAGTATAATCACCCAAGCATATGATCAATTGGATTGTTTGCAAATTGTATCAATTGTGTTTCACAATGCAAGTGTATTCCCATGCTAGGGAGCAATTGACCTCCATTGGCAAGTATGCACTTAAAAGTAAATAACAAATAAGACAGTAGATTCAGCTTTTGTATACTTCATCATCACTAGTTACATGCAAAGTTGGAGACAAAAGCGCAGGTGGACCCATGTTGAATACCACAAAAAGTTACAGACAGGCATGGATGACCCGTAAAGGTACAATTTGGCTGCACGCGACAGAGACAAGTGACCGAGGCAGGCGACAGAGACGGACACATAGCAGCTTGTCGCCACACACTTTTGAGGTGACGACCGAGACATATAGCACAGTGTTTGTTTTATTTGTTTTGTTGAGACATACGTGCACATATTCTGT